CGACCGGCCCTAGCATCATGGGACAACGGGCGATATTCAATGCCCTTCTCTCTCCTGCTCCCACGAGACAGCCATTGTTAATATATATATTAAGAAATGTGTGAATGGTCTATTGAGATCTTCCAGTGAGTGACTATATTCTCAGTTACCCCCCTCCTCCTTCCCCCGCGCCCAGGCCCTCACCCCCCCCCCCGTTGTCCGTGTCCATTGGTTAGACCTATATGCTTGCATGTAAGTCCTTTGGTTGATCTTTCCCCCTTACCCCCACCCTCCCCTACCTTCCCTCCAAGGCCCGACAGTCCAATCAATGTCTCTCCGTCTCTGGATCAGTCCTTGTTCATCAGTTTATGATGTTCATTATATTCCACAAATGAGTGAGATCATGTGGTATTTATCCTTCTCTGCGTTGCTGCCAAGATGACTGTTGGCACTTCCTCCTAACCATCTTAAGAAGGGCCGCTGCTGTGTCTGCCCGCAGGCGTGCCCGGCACCATCCGGCACCTGGCCGCCCTGGAGAAGCCCAGGATCTGCATCAGCGCCCATGGGGACAGGGTGAGCCTCAGGACAGAGACCTCCTTCAAGAACTTCGAGATCTCCTTCAAGCTGGGGGAAGAGTTTGACGAAACCACAGCGGACGGCCGGAAAGTGAAGGTAAGAACCAAATCGTCCTGGTCTTTCCAATCAGGAAAAACCTAGAAGGTGGTTGGGTGAGGTTCATTCATATCTAATCTGATTGATGACCTTGTGGTGCCCATTAATCTTGCACATCTCCAAAGTCAATCTTTTTAAAAATATATATATTTTTAATCAGAGAGGAAGGGAGAAGGAGAGAGAGATAGAAACATCAATGATGAGAGAGAATCATTGATTGGCTGCCTCCTGCATGCCCCCCACTAAGGATCGAGCCCGCAACCTGGGCATGTGCCCTTGACCAGAATCGAACCTGGGACCTTTCAGTCCACAGGCCAATGCTCTACCCACTGATCCAAACCACCTAGGGCCAAAGTCAATCTTTTGCAAATGATTCTGATGGTTGACAGGGCCAAAACTAACCTGCTTTCACTTTTTTTCTGATCTCTCTTTGCTGTCGGTGGGGGGGTTAGAGAACAACCAAAGGACTTGTATGCATGCATATTAGCATAACCAATGGACACAGACACTGGGGTGGTGGGGGCTTGCCCGGGGTGGGAATGGCTGGGGGCAAGGGGGTCAATCAGGGAAAAAGGAAACATATGTAAAACTTTAGACCAAAAAAAAAAAAAGCATACAGCCCTGGCCAGTGTTCCCAATGGGTAGAGCGTCAGCCCGAGCAACGAAGGATCTCAGGTTCACTTTCTAGTCAAGGGCACGTACATGGGTTGCAGTTCCATCCCAGGCCTTGGTCTGGGCATGTGTGAGAGGCAACCAATCCATGTGTCTCTCTCACATGGATGGTTCTCTCTCTCTCTCTCTTTCTGCCTCCCTTCCTCCCTCCTTTTCTCCCTTCCACTCTCTTAAACATATCCTCAGGTGAGAATTAACAAAAATATACAAATAAAAAAATAAAAACTTTAAAAGCACATAGAGGAAAACAATTCTCTACAAACCGTTTGGGTACTGCCTGCCTGGTGGAGGAGGGAGCTAATTGAATAATCCCTGGAGACTTCCCTAGTTGACAGTATTAAATTATAACAGAACTGAGGTGAGGATTTGGGAGGAAAAATTTCAAAATAGAAATTAAAGTGTCGTCTTGTGTCGGTTAGAGTGTAGTGAATTGCTGTTTCTAACTGATTCCTTTATGCATTCATAGAGCATCATAAGTTTAGACGGCGACTCGTTGGTCCATGTCCAAAAATGGCTTGGCAAGGAGACAACAGTCAAAAGACAAATCGTAGACGGGAAAATGGTGGCGGTGAGTTTCCTCCGAATGGGACTCTTTACATCAGTGGTTCTCAACCTTTCTAATGCTGCGACCCTTTAATAGAGTTCCTCATGTGGTGACCCCTAATTTCATTGTTACAAATTGAACATAATTAAAGCATAGTGATTAATCACAAAAACAATACGTAATTATATATGTGTTTTCCGATGGTCTTAGGCGACCCCTGTGAAAGGGTCGTTCGACCCCCAGGTTGAGAACCACTGCTTTAGATGCTCCTACTTGAAGCAGGCCTCCTGAGGGGCTCAGCTTCTCCATCTGCCCCCAACTCTCGGGACTGGGGAGTAGGGCCACAGGGGCTTAACCGGTCAGCTACCAACTCAACAGACTCCTCTTTGCTTTCAGAAACACACCATGAATAATGTTGTCAGCAGGCGAGTCTTCAGAAAGGAATGAAGAAAGCCGCCACATCTGTGAAAACCCACTCACCAAGAACACACGGGGGTGAAGATCTGCCTCAGGGCCAGTGATTTTAAAAATTGCTTAGTAGAAACGCTCAATAAAGCATCAGATTAGGTGCAGTTTCAGAGCTGAGTCATACTGAGTTTGGGACATTGTGATAAACCGGTGGGGCAGGAAGCTCCTGGCCTGTGGTGCAATTGTAGGAGCACCAGCGCCCTCTTTGTCCTCTGCCACCTGCCCCCCAGGGCCTGCATGACCCACCGTTAAAGTATCTGTCAAGTGGTGCTTTGTGGAGATTCACATGGCTTCAAAGGGGGGAACATTATCATCATTGGAACCTGCCTTGGGCAGCACAGATGCTGAGAACTAACATCTCTGGCTTTTTATTTTTGCCTTAGAAGGTTGGACCTCCTTAAAGTAGTTAGGATGGATGGAGAAATTGATGGATGGAGGGATGGATGGATGGAGGGATTGATGGATGGAGGGATGGATGGATGGAGGGAGGGATGGATGGGTGGATGGATGGAGGGATGGACAAGCAAATAGGTAGATAACAAAATAGAACCTGGACATTAGACACTGTGTTTGAATTCAGCCTTTTTCATCTCGTGGCACACATAAACTAATTGCTAAAATTCTACAGCACACTGATTATATTTTTTGCTGATCTGACAAAAAATAGGTATAATTTTGATTTATTCACACCGAAAGGCTATTGTTGTATTGACTGTTGTCATTTTTTAATTTGACAAGCTAAGGGAAAAGAGGTCAGTGCCCCTGACTAAATAGTCAAGTATTGCCTGTTTTAAAAATTCCTGTGGCACATCGGTTGAAAATTGCTGTTATAGAAGAACATTTAAAAACAATTATTGTCTTACTTACCCATAAGCCCATTTAAAATAACCAGGCTGGTGCATCTGCTGCCACAGTTTACAACGTGGTATTCACAGAACGACAGGTCATTCAAGCCAGCCCTGAATTTCTAAATGTTCAGTAAGAAAATAATTGTTGAGCCCTAGCTGGTTTGGCTCAGTGGATAGAGCATCGGCCTGTGGTCGGAGTGTTCACGGGTTCATTTCCAGTGAAGGGCACGTGCCCGGTTGTGGGCTCAATCCCCAGTGGTGGGGCATTCAGGAGGCAGCCAATCAATGATTCTCTCTCATCATTGATGTTTCTCTCTCTCTCCTTTCCTCTCTGAAATCAATAAAAATATATTAAATAAATAAAATAATTGTTGGAGGTAAAATTAATGGATAAAGCCTAGAAAACTGAGGCTATTTGTAGCAGTGGAAGGAGGAAAGGGAGAAAGAATTGTGTAAATATTGTGTGCACCTTAAATTTAAAAATAGATAACAGTTGGTTAAAAATGTTTGGAGTCGTGTCCAATGTGTGCTGAAATGAAAAGTCCGTGTCATTTGTCACCTGAGCTGGGGTGAGCTGGCCAGGAGCACGCTCGTGATCACACCTGGGCAACAGGCACGGCCTAGAGCCGTCCCGGCAAACCAGGGTGGTCGCTGTGTGAGGAGGGGGTTGAAGGGCCACGCACAGGAGGACGGAGCAGGGCCGGGGGCCAGAGCTGAGCCCCTGACAGGAAGAGGAGGGAGGCTGTCAGATGAACCCTGAGGGCCTCTGAGCACATAGCCGTGCACCTGCAGTGGCCGCTT